CTTAGGCTCACTCCCCCGAGGACATCCTTTCCCCCGAGGGCTCCTGGACTGCGAGAGGGCACAGGCCAGGCTGAGGGACCCCAGCCATATGCACGTTGGGGGGCGACCAGGCCAGCAAGGGGAGGGCCGTTAGGGGCAACCAGGCAGGCAGGCAGAGGCAGTTAGGGGCGATCAGGCAGGCAGAGGAGCAGTTATAGGAGCATTAGGCAGGCAGACAGGTAGTGGTTAGGAGCCAGTGGTCCTGGATTGTGAGAGGGATGTCTGACTGCCAGTTTGTGGCAGTTGGACATCCCCCAAGGGGTCCCAGATTGGAGAGGGTGCAGGCTGGGCTGAGGGGAACTCCCTCCTCACCCCCATGCACGAATTTTGTGTATCGGGCCTCTAGTATATTTATAAAAACTAAAACTCAACAATATAACCAATCCAATTTTAAAATGGGTAAAGGATCTGAATAGACATTTCTTCAAAGAAAATACACAAGTGGCCAATAAGCACATGGAAAGATGCTCAACATCATTAGTCATTAAGGAAATGCAGATTTCACTTTATACCCACTAGGATAACTAGAATAAAAAAGCCAAATAGAGTGGAACCTCATTTCTTGAACGTCTCCCATCTCAAACAATTCACTTCTCAACTGACAACCCTTTCATGCTGATACCTGTATGATCAGTCACGCACCTCTTAGGTGACAAAGAGAATGCACGAATATGAATCAGTTTACCACTGTTAAAATTTCAGGATATTGTGCTGTGAGTATTTTCACGTTTTTTTGCTTTTGTTGCTGCTTATAATTATTGTTAAATTTTCAATTTTTTACGGTTCATTTGCTTTTTGTTAATTTTCATTTACATTTCATGTTCTTTTTATTTTTAAAGTGTTTATAGGTTAAACAGTAAGTGGAGATGTACTGTATATAAGAAAGGTTAAAATAGGGAATCATTGGGGGGTCTGGAATGGCTTAATTCAATTTACATTATTTCTAATGGGGAAAAATGATTCGGTTTTTGAATGGCCTTCCGGAATAAATTAAGTTTAAGAAATTAGGTTCCACTGTAATACCAAGTGTTGATGAGCAGGTGGAGAAATTGGAACCTTCATACATTGCTGATTAGAACACAAAAACGGTACAGCCAATTTGGAAAACAGTCTGGCAGGTCCTCCAAAAGTTACACATATGTGACCCAGTGAGTTCACTCCTTAGGTATATATCCAAGAGAAATGAAAACATATATTCACACAAAAACTTGTGCGTAAGTGTTCATAGAAGCATTATTTATAATTGCCAAAAAATGTGAATATCCCAAATATTCAACAGCTGATTAAGGAATAAACAAAATGTGGTATATTCATACAATGGAATATTATTCGGCCAAAAAAGGAGTGATCCCCAGTAGAGGGTATGCAGGAGGCAGCGATCAATGTTTCCATCTTTCTCTTTTCCCCTCTCTCTAAAAATCAGTAAAATCATATTTTTAAAGAAGTTGATTGGCAGAAGAGTAGTCTAAGAAGGGAAGCCTTAGCAATACCTGTCCTTCGTTTTTTAAAAATATATATTTTATTGATTTTTTACAGAGAGGAAGGGAGAGAGAGTCAGAAACATCGATGAGAGAGAAACATTGGTCAGCTGCCTCCTGCACGCCCCTCACTGGGGATGTGCCCACAACCAAGGCACATGCCCCCGACCAGAATCGAACCCGGGATCCTCCAGTCCACAGGCCGATGCTCCATCCACTGAGCCAAACCGGCCAGGGCATGTCCTTCATTTTTAATTCCTAATAAACAGGCTGCTATTTGTGGGTTCAGGTCTCAATGAGGAACAAAAAAATCATAGTCATAGTTTCACATGCAGAGGTAGAGGATTTGGACTGACATTCCATTGGATTTTCATATGACTTCTTAGTTTTCACATTTCCTCCTTGTGACAGCCTAGCTCAAGGGTGGGCAAACTTTTGGGTTCTTAAACTGGACCGGAGACCGGAACAAAAGCATGGATGGAGTGTTTGTGTGAACTAATATAAATTCAAAGTAAACATCATTACATAAAAGGGCACGGTCTTTTTTTTTTTTTTTTTTAGTTTTATTCATTTCAAACGGGCCGTAGTTTGCCCACGGCTGGCCTAGCTGTTTTGGGTTGTTCACATGTAATCTCAGGGATGACTTCTCTTAGTTTGCCAAGATCTTAGTATGAATGTTAAGTGCTGAGTAGCTTGCTTGTAAGTGAAAACTCTGGCTTTTTGGTCTCTATACTGTACTTAGTTACACCACCCTTGAAATGGAACAAGCGCCATTTTTTGCTGTTTGAAGAGAATATTTCATTATTATGCAACTTTATAATTTCTTTGGCTTATCCTTAGAGCGTATAATCAAGCTTTAAGCTTTCAGCTAATGTTTTCTTTTTTATTGTGAAACCAATAATTCTAAGCATCTACACAGAGAGCTTTTAGAAATTGTTTCTCATTTGTAAAAATTACTCTTTCCTAATTTGAGTATTATCTACTTTGTAGTAAATTATATATATTTGTATTGGGGAAATGATATAACACATCAAGGAATTGAATTTTTTGGCTCTTTTTTACCCTTTGAGGTGAGGAAATATCTGTTTAAAAGTGGAACTTTGAAGCTTGTCAAGAATTCTGTCTCCTTGACATGAATTTTCATGTTTCAGCCCAAATACTTTTTCATTGAGCATCTTATCAGTGTGCTAGACCATGCTAGTCCTTTTTCTCACTTCAGGCTCAAAAAATTTGATTTAGAGATTCCTCATCCTGCCTAAGACTCATCATATTGCTTATAAATGAACTGAGATTAAATGAGGAATGTTATGATGTAGGTACAGTGTGGATATTGCTTCATGGTAATTTTGTTGTTGTTCTTTTCCAGTGTTCCATTGGCAAGCTACAATAATGGGGCCAGTAAGTATTCACATTAATTTCAGAATAAATAGTTTATGTAATTGACTCATTTTAATCCCACTTTTCTTGTTATCAACAGAACGACAGTCCCTATCAGGGTGGAGTATTTTTCTTGACAATTCATTTCCCAACAGATTATCCCTTCAAACCACCTAAGGTAATTGGGATATGTTAATTGCTTTTCATGTGTTTCCTATGATACTAATAAACCAGTTTACAAAATTTTTTTTCTTTTTTCTATAGGTTGCATTTACAACAAGAATTTATCATCCAAATATTAACAGTAACGGCAGCATTTGTCTTGATATTCTGCGGTCACAGTGGTCTCCAGCACTAACTATTTCAAAAGGTAATGGAATGGGTATTCAATATCAAGATAAAGGAACTGTGTTTTAAAAGTCTTCTTAAGGTTATTTTTAAAAATTATATTTATTTTAAGAGGAAGTAGCAATTCCCCTTATTTTTGAATAGATCTTGAGACCAATGGAAAGCATTGGATTTTCAAGTATATATATTTCTTTGTGTTGTGACTATTGTGTTCATTTTGCTATTCTAAATGCTATAGGTTGGAAAATAAATTTTTATTTGAGCATCTTAACAATCTTTGGTGTATAGTTGCCTGTGCATTTGAAAATGTATAGAGAAAGTTAGTTACTAATTTTGTGATGAAAAATCCAGTAGCTCTTTATTTTTTTTTTAAATATATTTCTTTATTGATTTCAGAGAGGAAGGGAGGAGGAGAGAGATAGAAACATCAATGATGAGAGAGAATCATTGATTGGCTGCTTCCTGCACACCCCACACTGGGGATGGAGCCCGCAACCCAGGCATGTGCCCTTGGCTGGATTTGAACCTAGAACCCTTCAGTCCACAGGCCGACGGACGCTCTATCCTCTGAGCCAAGCCGGCCAGGGCCCTGTAGCTCTTTAAATAAGACATAATTAATTGCATGAGTAGATGGGTTTTTTTTTTTCACATTATAACATTTTTATTTGTTTTTCAGTTACAGTTTACATTCAGTATTACTTTGTATAAGTTTTAGGTGTACAGTACAGTGGTTAGATAATCATATACTTCACAAAGTGGTCCTCCTGATATTTCAAGCACTCACCTGGCACCATACATGGTTATTATAATATTATTGACTATATTCCCCATGCTGTACTTTATATTCCTGGAACTGTTTTGTGACTACAAATTTTTAGTTCTTAAGCCTTTTTTACCTAGCCCCGGGATTTTTTTTTTTTTTATGTCAGTGAGCTGATTGGGTAGTTAATAAACATTATCTGATGTGTTGATTTGAAATTGTGCAACCCTTCAATATCATACCTTTAATCACAAGTGGGTTAAAGTTGTCAAAATACAAATATAAGCCATAGGCCATCCTATATGATAAAAGCCTAATATGCTATGTGTCCAGTCTTCTGGTCATCCATTCAGTCAATCAAAGCATAATATGCTAATGATATGCTAAGGCTGCTCAACCGCTCACTATGACGTGCACTGACTACCGGGGGCAGACACTCCGACCAGTAGGTTAGCTTGCTGCTGGGGTCCAGCCAATTGGTACTGAGCAAGACAGGCCAGACACACCCTGGAGCCCTCCCATGGTCCTTCCCCTGCTGGCCAACCTCCCACATCCCTCCCTGGCCCCAGTCGTGCACCAGTGGGGTCCCAAGGCCTGGCCTGCGTCCTCTTGCAATCCAGAACCCCTTGGGGGATATCGGAGAGCTGGTTTCGGCCTGATTCCACAGGCCAAGCTGAGGGACCCCACTGGTGCACAAATTCATGCACCAGGCCTCTAGTAAATAAGATAATGGGCTAATATATTTACAATACAAATAACATGTATAAATCAGTAAGAGAAAAAAACCTATATTCCAATGGGTGAGAGGACAGAAAGGAACAAAATAAAGAAATGAAAATTAATATAGTTCCCATTATTCACTTTTTTAATGAACAAAGATCTTTCCAAAAGAAAACTAAATGCTGATAAGGTACATTACAATGAGTGTTCATATACTACAGAAGCATAGGTTTGTACAGCCCAGGATGTATTAAGAGATGAGATTTAGTAATTAATACCCTCTGACCCAGTAATTCTGGTTTTATTCATTTGTATTAAGAAAACAACCCCAAATAATGAAAAAGCATTGTGTGCAAGTACATTTGTGACAGTGCTATTTATTTCTGAAAATTAGGAATTATTTATAGGCCCAACTATAGAGGAAGAAATAAATCAGTTCTAACACGTGCATTTAAAGGAGGATTGAGCCTTACAAATATTGTGAAAATGGGGAAATGCTGTGTTTGAAAAAAGCAGAAAAGATAAAATTAATATACACTGTAACAAGTTATATGGAAAAGTATATTAAATAGTTACAAAGAAACATTTTGTGTATCTCGGTGCTGAAATTTGATGTATAAAAACATTTTTGTTTTCTGTCTTATAGTTTATCATTTCTTTAATATACACATTTAGACAAGAGGAAGCATAATTTCGTGTTAACATAGATTCATTCTGGTTTTAACTACCCATATTCAGATATCAGCTTCACTCTTATTGAATGAGACTTAAGACAACTAAGTTTCTGTTCTCTTTCATCTATAGAATAGGGATGATAATTACTATTTCATGGTTATTACGAAGATTGAAAAAGCAAAAATGCACAGTTAACTGATTCTTTATAAGTACTCAAATAACTGGGATAAAGGTACTATTGTAAAAAGTGTTGTATATTTGTTGTGTTATAACTATTATAAGACTTGTATACTCTGTCATTAATTTTTCAAAGGAAACAAGAACTCTGGGGCATTAAATTAAAATTTGGGGGGGTTCTAGGCAAAAATAAAAACAAAGAATTAGAGGACCACATTTTTAAAAATTGTAACGGAAATAATTTTTCGAGATAAGTGGCCTCTTTTCTTTTTGTAGGCCCCTTGCACATCATGGGCTACTTGTGAAAGTGTTCATATACTTTTCTTGTGACTTCCTGGCCTGCTTGCTCTTCATTCACAAAGTAGCAGTTAGCAGTAGAGAAATAAATCTAGTAAAGTAATGGGGCCAAAAGAGGTGGAATGTGTGTGTGTGTGTGTGTGTGTGTGTGTGTGTGTGTGTGTGTGTGTGTGTGTGTTGGGAAGCGGGGAAGTCTGTATAGCCGAAATTATTACCACAGATTTCTTTCCCTTCCTCTTCTGTGCCTAGTCTAGTGTTGATTTTTCAGTTATTCTCAATCATAAGGGCTGCTAGTTTTATTAGACTTAATGTTCCTTCTATCTGGGTAGCTATCTTTTAAAATCATTGAGGTGCCATTTTAGTGAATTTGATTATATCAGGGTATCTAGGTTTAATGTTTTAATGATTCCCTTTTGTAAATGGAATGTATGAGCAAGCAATTCTGCGGAAGACCTGAGTCTTGTGTGTAAAAATAATTTTTCCTCCTTTTTCTTTTGTTAATCCTCACCAGAGGATTTTTTTTTCCCATTGATTTTTAGTGGAAGGGAGGGGGGGGAAGTAAGAGACAGAGGGAGAGAGGGAGAGAGAGAGAGACAGACAGACAGACAGACAGACAGACATCGATTGGTTGCAGCGCAAGTACGTGCCCTTGACAGGGAATCAAACCTACAATCCTTCAGTGCTCAGGCCAACGCTCTAACCACTGAGAAATACCAGTCAGGGCAATTTTTCCTTTAATGTAGTCTGCTTTCAAGGGCCATAATTTTGACTCGAATTTCTCTCTACTTTGACTATATATGTTAGATATCTAAATATATTAAAAACTTAAGCAGATAAATGTGCCATAAAGCCTCTTTGTTATATGTTTTTAGAATTGGAAGTGACTGTGGGTTACGACACTAATGAAAATGAATATATACAGATGAAGATGTATACGTAGGTGAAAAATTAGTTATTTCAGTGAAGAGTCTATGCAGGTTGTAGAAATAGGAGTTAGTCTCTTTACAGTGAAGGAAGGTATAGTGCAGTATAAGGCAAAATTAATTTTCTGCGAATTAAAGGAACTAGTATACTAAGAATCCTTTTACCAGGTCCAGATAACCACCACTCCAGCTTCCTTTCCTGGAAAGAAAGACAAGTTATTTCTTTAAAATGTATCTTTTAAAATAGCATTATTGGAATGATCGGAATTGTAAATAAAGAAAATTTGTAGCCTTTGCTGGTTTGGCTCAGTATCTAGAGCAGGGGTCCTCAAACTACGGCCCACGGGCCACATGCACATACAAATATTGTATTTGTTCCCATTTTGTTTTTTTTTACTTCAAAATAAGATATGTGCAGTGTGCATAGGAATTTGTTCATAGTTGTTTTTTTAAACGATAGTCTGGCCCTCCAACGGTCTGAGGGACAGTGAATTGGCCCCCTGTTTAAAAAGTTTGAGGACCCCTGGCTGTCGGCCTATGGACTGAAGGGTCCTGGGTTCAGCTCCGGTCAAGGACACATGCCCCAGTTGTGGGCTCAATCCCCAGTGAGGGGCGTGCAGGAGACAGCTGATCAATGATTCTCATCATTGATGTTTCTCTCTCTCTCTCCCTATCCCCTCCTCACTGAAATCAATAAAAAATATATATTAATAAAAAAAATTTATAACTGATACTGTTTTGGTAGTATGTCTAATTTTAGGTGACGAATCAGTTGTACTCTAATTTTAGGTGAAGAATCAGTTGTACTCTTCCCAGTTTGATAGGCTGGACAAGTTTCTTCTTTTTATAGTCAGTAATTTCATGAACATTCAAAAATCTATAACTCCCTGTTGTCATTTCCAGGAAATACATGAAATCTTTCCTAATTGCTGTTAGGATGTTCTGTGCTTGAAGAGGGCATCAGGTGATACACCTGACAATGGGAAGAGAAGATGTTTTGGGAATGCCATCTGCCAGAATTGTGGGCAACAGGAATGAAGAGTCAGAAAACATCTTTCCTGATGTTTTTTATTTTCCATATATTCTTAAGGCAAGGAAATAGCTTTTTTGTTAAACTGAATGATAAAGGGCATGTAAACTTTTTCTTTACCTCTCAGAAGCCCTTGATCTCTACAAAATAGATTTGTTAGGAAAATGAATAAATCCTTTTCTGCTGAATTGATGTTTTGGGAGTAAAGTGGGATCCGAATTATTATCTCTTACTGCCAAACATTAAAGCTGAGTTCTAATAGTCTTAGAATAGAAGGATTGGGATTTATTTCAGTATACCAGAAGCCACTGGATTTTATGTAATTAGTGGCCTTGGCTTCCTTTTTACATTCAATAATGAATACATAAATTAACAACAAATTTAACAGAGGAAATTGTACTATTGAGATTTTCTGCTATATTCCAGGTTGTCACTGAGGAAATGGCTTAGATGAGATTCTAAATCGTCACTGAAAAGAATTAGAGACTTTAGTAGAAGTATATTGTACCATCTGTAATAAGTGTGGCTAGCCCCATTTGAGGGCAGATACTAGCCTTTATGTTCTTGGACTAAATTGTTTTCAACTGAAAATGAAACAAATCCATTGCATCTGAATGTAATATCTGCCATTGAGAAAGCAGTGATTGTTGGATTTCATGTTGGTTATTTCTGACGAAGAACATTCAGTAGTGTGGTTTCTTTAGAATTTTGAAAGCCATTTATTCCTGAACATGGGCTTCTAAAAAATGAAAGTTTATGAGCTCTGAAAAGTGTCATTGGTCTGGGATTTGGAAGACCTGGATTCTAATTTCACTATAATTACTCACTAATGGGACATTGGGCAAGTCACTTCACCAGCCTGGGCTAACTTCCTTGGGGATTTAAGCATAGAGAAATCTTATAATCTTTGTTGATTACTGTAACTATAAAGTTAGGTAGAGCTTAACAAAGCTGCTAGGCACTGCAATATAAATAGATTCTTAGAATTTTCTCATGTGTTGGCACCTCCTGTTTCTTTGAATTCTTTGCTTTTATCTTTATTAATTTATATGTTTTCTTCATTCTAGTACTCTTGTCCATCTGTTCTCTGTTGTGTGATCCTAATCCAGATGATCCTTTAGTGCCTGAGATTGCTCGGATCTACAAAACAGATAGAGAAAAGTAAGTATGGCCACCAGACAAAAATGGACCTGTGGTAGGGTAGAAATGTTTGTGACTCACATCTTTCTTAACTAAGGGCTGGGTATGGATCAGATATTTAAAATGAAATCCTAATACACTCACCTGGGGATAGAAAAGAGGAGTGTTTGCATTGCGTATCATTATATGTAGATGACACTGATACTTTTTATTGATTTGAGAGAGAGAGAGACATTACCATGTTGTTTTGCTTATTAATGCATTCATTGGTTGGTTTTTGTATGTGCCCTGACCAGGGATTGAACCCACAACTTTGGTGTATTGGGCCAATGCTCTAACCAACTGAGCTTCCCAGCCAGGGCTGGTATTATCTCTTAATTATTTCATATGACTCCTACTGTCTAGAGCAGCGGTCACCAACCTTTCAAACCTCACAGACCCCCGTGAGGTCTGAAAGGTTGGCGACAGCTAGTCTAGAGAAACTTCTCTGCATTATATTTTCAACAGTTTTATGTCTTCTTGGCTTTTGATATTATAACTCATTTTGCATCAAGAGCCCATTTATCTTAGGTATTTGAAAATTAATGGGGAAAGGAAATTGTTTTTCTACCATTTGGTATATTTTTAAAAAAGAAAGAGAATAAATGCCACCAGACATAAAAACCCAAAATTTCCTTCAAAAAAATAAAACAATGAAACTTAATGTAGAATTTACATATTTTAGAATTGTACTATGAACTATTAAGAATGGTCAGGATATCCAAAGAAATAGTAACTAAAAGTATTCTGATCTTTTTCTTTTTTCTTTTTTTTGGTATATTCATTAAAATAGGAGGAAATAGATGGGGAAAAGTGGATAATTTTCTAAAGTTAAAATACAAAGAATTAAAGAATTATTTAAATCCTTCTGGATAAGCAAGGCATATAGATACAACGTTTGTGTGTGTGTGTGTTTTCTTGATCTTCACCCAGGGGTTGGGTTTTTTTTAATTATTATTATTAGAGGAAGGCAAAAGCAGGGGGGCGGGGTGGAGAGAGAAAGAAAAACATAAATTGGCTGCCTCTTGTACGCCCCACCCCCACCCCTCCACCCCCAGTTGTGGACTGAAACCGCAACCTAGGTATGTGCCCTGACCAGGAATTGAATCTACAACCTTTTGGTGTATGGGACGGCACTTCACCCAACCGCGCCATACCAGCCAAGGCTAGATACCATATTTTTAGGTGGGGCATTGGGGGATTGTAACAGCAGTTGGTTATTAGTTTAGTTTTGTCTGTATTTAGGACTGAATAGTCATTGTAGTCATGTATTTCTGGCTGCATTCAGAATAAAATTAGATCATGCTTTTTTCTATTTGTGAATTTATGCAAATACATTTCTTTTATTGGAGAACCATTTTGTCAAATATCTGGAATTGTGGGCATAACAAAAAGGCATTTCCTAAGCCATTGTGGTTGTAATGTTCAGAAGAACTTGCCTGCATCCCTTTTTATCTATTTTTATCATTTTTTAAATATGTGTTTGTTGTTTATCCTCACCTGAGGATATTTTTCCATTGATTTTTAGAGAGAGTAGAAGGGAGGGGGAGAGACAGAGAGAGAGAAACATCGATGTGACAGACACACATAAATTGGTTGTTCCCACATGGGCCCAAACCAGGGTAGGAATCTAGCCTGCAACCGAGGTACATGCCTTTGACTGGGAATTGAAACTGTGACCCTTCAGTCCATGGACCCAATGCTCTGTCCACTGAGCCAAACCAGCTAGGGCTAATATGTTTTTATTGATTTCAGAGAGAGGAAGGGAGAGGGAGAGAGAGAGAAACATCGATGGCCTCCTGGAGGTCACCCCCTTCCACCTCTGCTACTGGGAATGGATCCTGCAACCCAGACATGTGCCCTGACTGGGAAATGAATTGTGATCTCCTGGTTCATGGGTTGACATTCAACCACTGGGCAACACTGGCCGGGCCTGCATCCCTTATGCCCTTGACCGGAATCGAACCTGGGACCTTTCAGTCCGTAGGCCAGTGCTCTCTCCACTGAGCCAAACCGGTTAGGGTTGCATCCCTTTTTAAATCAAAGAATTGTAGAACCTTTTGGCCTCCTTATTTTACTACTAGAATGTTCTTCTGGAGCAATAGACCTATTCATTTTAGAAACCAAATTGTTAAAATACATTCTGCCAGAACTAGTGATTTACTGAGGCAGAGGAAATTATTATATCAATTTAATCACTATAAGTATATGATTTCAAGAACCATATAATGTAGAAGTATATAGTTTGAAGAACTCTAAGTAAATGAACAAGGGTTGAAGATCTTTCCTAGAAATAAGTCAAGCAAGTGTAGAATAAGGGTATGTCAGCAAATGCTAAAATTGAATCAGAACCCTCTATTACAGTGGTTGCCAACCTTTCAGACCTCACGGACCACCAGTAGTCTGCGGACCACCAGTTGGCAACCACTCTCTATTAGTAGCATTTTCAGGACATTGTTTTTCTCTTAACAGCTTTTTTTCCCCACTATCATTAAATAAATTAGAAATTTGGGGTAAAAGGTGGTTTTACTTGAATGTACATTTCCCCCCTCAAGTTATGGGTGTGTGTTTGTTTGTTTTTGTTCATCCTTACCAGAGGATATTTTTCCCATTGATTTTTAGAGAATGGAAGCAGGGTAGGGAGAAGTGGGGAGAGAGAGAGAGAGAGAGAAACATCAATCAGTTGTCTCCTGCATGCGCTCCTATCAGTGTTGGGGATTGAACCTGCAACCCAGGCACATGCCCTTGACTGAGAATCGAAACTGAGACCCTGTGGTGCTCAGGTCAGCGCTTTTACCACTGAGCACACCTGTCATGGTACTACATGGGTTTTTAATAAAGAACACCAGAGGATAAAAATGTTACTAAATGGGATAATGAATGATGCCTTCTAACTGACTTCTTACCTGTGTTAAGCTAAGCTTCTCTTTGTGTGTACAGGTACAACAGAATAGCTCGGGAATGGACTCAGAAGTATGCGATGTAATTAAAGAAATTATTGGATAACCTCTACAAATAAAGATAGGGGAACTCTCAAAGAGAAAGTCCTTTTGATTTCCATTTGACTGCTTTCTATGAGCCCACGCCTCATCTTCCCCTGTGCACATGTTTACCTGATACAGCAGTGCTGCGTGTTGTACATACTTCGAACAACAAATAGAAATACTGTACTTCTGTACCAACATTGCCTCCTAGCAGAGAAGTGTGTATGTGACAAGCCAGTTCTTCAGACATAACCTAGGTGTGAGACTAAAAGCTTTCCTATTGACTTAAATTTGGATAACTGCAAGTTGAGGGGTGGTGGGTATGTTGTGTGCTTGGATGGGAAAGAAAAGCTCCACTGACCTGTAGGAGATGTTTTTTAAGTGGAATCCTTTTAAACTCAAAACAGATATGAAAAGCAAGGCGAAGAACATGAAGCTGTTTCTGTATTCATTTTATGCTGAAGGACCTACGTCTTAGGTGAAAGTTATAACCAACCAGATTAAAATCTACCCACATCCTGTATTTTAAGGTCTAAGTTTAACTGGATTGGAGCTATTAGTATATAAAGTGTGATGGGCTTTGTTCCCACTTCTTACATTTCCCCACCCTTCAACCCTTGTCCTTTCAGCCCCTCTTTCTCTCTTCCATATTCTTTGGTTTGTATGTGGTTTCTCAGTTAATACATAGCTAATAGCTCTTATTTTTCTTATGTTTTTAACTACTTAGGTCTTTCTGGATGTAAGGGTGAAAATTCATTTGATGGAAATACTTGTGTATATTTAAAGACCCAGTTGCTCCTCTGGAGCTTGTACGTTCAAGAATGATTAATCTGTGTAATAAACTGATTACTACAGTCATTACATATAATTTTGTGTGAATAGGCTTTTTGATTTTAAGAACTTTATCTAGCTGAGATTAGTGGTGGATTTTCCCCTTATTCTTTAAATGTCCACTGCTTTTCGTTTTCATTTATACTGGTTGCATTTTAAAATCATGAAACAATTCCAGTTTACATAGTAAAAAGGATATCTTGAAAGTAATTTCACTGAACAAGATAAGGGCATAAGCTTAAAAGCTTTTCCATGAAATTTATATGTGTAGTATTCCAGGAACATGACTGTTAAACTAAGAAATTTGCTTTATTAATGAAACCAAGCTGCATATCACCAAAACCTTGTGACATTCCCTTGGTACATAGGACATAGAACAAAGGCATTGCTATTTGGTAAGTTAAGCTTCTGTGATTGTAAAAGAGCAACATTGACCAAACCTGGGAAACATGAGCACAATCTTGTATTGGAGAGTCTTCATAATTACTTTGCACTAACATTGCAGGATGTTCATTCCATTTTAAATTGTACTGTATGTGGCTTTTTTGAAGTCTTCCCTTGACTCTAGTAAAATGTAGTTTGAAACTTGTAAACAACTGTGTTTGCCAGAAACATCATTCGTGTGAACTAGGCAAGTTACCTTTTTTCCCCTCCTCCTAATCTAATTGTAAACCTGGCCAGCCTGAAGGCCATGGCTGGTGCTCACTAGCCAGCAGGTTCTTTCAAATGCATCTTTACACTCTTGCACAAAAATTGAGGAATAAATGTCCACTGCTTTTGGTTTTAAACTTGTTCAACTTGTCTTATCTTCAGTGTCACTATTCTCCCATCTCAGAACTAAAGTGTGACATAACCTGAAAACTATTAAAGTGTTGCATTTTAGCTGCTGGTTACTTATTAGTATTTCTAGCATTCTTGACCTTGCAAAGAAGGTTTGACTGTTAACAGTTGTGGTGAAAGGAGTTAAAATTGAGCTCTAACTTAAAATTATCCTGTATTCTCATTATCGTGTGTAGGTGGGAATTCATTAATTTTTGACTTGCTATTAACTATATTGTTGACTATGGGTCAATTGCACACATCCTGAAAGCTGGTTCTTTGTTATCTTAGAGAGCTGCCAGTTCATTACTATTTATTAGGTCAAAATGTAAATACTTTTACAAAAGTGTCCGTATTTTTTTAAGTGCTAAGTAAGACATTATCCTGGTGTGCAAGTTTCTAATGAAAGGGTTTACATAGTCATAAACATTAGACCCTTGAACGCAGTTTGGTTTTGCTCATTTGAGTATGGAGCTTATTTGGTCCAGTCCATATATATATATATGCCTTGGTCAGAATGAAGGCTCAGTCAGGGAGGCCACCTTCCCCACTCACCAAACAAACAAAAAAAGTGTCACTCAGGATGGTTCTCACATTGCTTTTTACAGGAGTGTCTCAGCTTTATCACATGTGAAAGCCTGTTTGCAGTAACCCTGATTAGTGAGACAGTGGTTATAAGGGAATGTCAATTGTATGGTTTCCCTTTGCTTTGCTTTGCTTTGCTTCTTAATTACATAGAGTGCTGGGTCAAGTTATAATTGGAGTAGTTTCTTTTAGTGAAACTACATGATTTCAGATACTTACATGCTCTGTTATTGGCCAGTGGTCAAAGTTAGCGTTGTCCTGCTGGTTTCTATACTTTGGGTAGTACAAAGACTTGGAAGAAAGGCTGTTGAGGTAGGGAATGGCAGGGTCTATAAAGAGAAGGATGTGGTGGTGATCAGAGAGAGGGATTCATGTTCTCTGCCCTGATCTAGCAATAGAGGCAATCATTGTACTTCCTACTGCTCCAGTATTACACTTTTTGAGTCATTCTTTGCCTTAGGTAGATTGTCAAGAGAGATGAATTATTTCTACATTACAGTTGTAAACTGTTCCTTGTTTGCAATTAAGGTGAAACTGTGGGTTTTGTTTCAGTCTGCTCTAAGGTACCCCTTAATACAGGGGTCCTCAAACTTTTTAAACAGGGAGCCAGTTCACTGTCCCTCAGACCGTTGGAGGGCCAGACTATAGTTTTTTAAAAAAACTATGAACAAATTCCTATGCACACTGCACATATCTTATTTTGAAGTAAAAAAAACAAAACCATATACAATATTTGTATTTGCATGTGGCCCGCGGGCCGTAGTTTGAGGACCCCTGCCTTAACACCTGGTGGCGAGATTTTAATAGAACTTTCTTCAGTTCCTGGGTCTTCTGAATTATGAACATATATTTTCTTACTACTCAGAAATAAGCATCTTTATTGCCCCTGCAGAAAATAGTCACCAGTGTTAAGGACCCATTACCTCTTGATTTCATTTGTGAATACTCTATTTCAAGTGATGATGGGTTATTTTGGTGGGTGTGATATTATATAAGAGAAAGCAGATTTTTAATACGAAAATAACTGTGAAGGTAGTAGACTATCAAATATTCATTCATACATATCTAAGAAGAGAAAATAGACCTTGGGGACATTTCTGGAGCCTGTTCCCTATTTAATGTTTCCTTATGTTGTGTATGCACTTAGATGAAAAGTGGCTCTAAGTTTGCTACCCGACAAAAGCCTTTCTTCAAAATCTTTTCTAATCATCCTAAGCCCTGGCAGGTATAAGTGGTTAATATTCAGGCCCTCTGACTATTTCCAGGCCAATTCCTGGGATGGGCTTAGAAATATGAAAACTGGCCATGGGATCACTTTGCCAGGGTTAATATTTATAATATTCATTCCCCCATTGTTGCCATATTTTATCTTAGTTAATATAAGTGGGAAAGTTCAAAAGTTGGGACTACTAAAGTCTTAAGGCCTTGGGTCTCAGTGGCTGAATGTATAACAACAGTCAACAACCAGCTTCGCCCTTTCTCTGACTGTTCCTGGACTGGTTGAGGCAGAGACAACATTTTTCTAAGTGGTCACTTTTCATCTTTGAATTATTTGTGAAGCTGCACCTCATTGAAGGCAAAGTATAATCTGCCTCTTAGCAGATGTAGAGCTATGAATATCTCAGCATCAAGACAGCAACTTAATAGTTTTGAATTGAGTGAGGTTTTTGTTTTTAACCTCCTGTGTAAGTTATTGGTAGAATGCCTTTTCCAGGGCTAGGGCTCATGATTGCCCTACGGTGCACTCTGAAAGCTAACGGTTGACTACATTTGGAAATGCCGAGAAGAAGCCACTAAGTGCCTGGCCAGGTCTCTGGTAACTGCTGTCCAGGGAAGAGCCGTGGCAGCCTTGGTAAATGTGCTGTGCATTCTTTTTCAGACTTGGAAGGATACGAGTGGTGGTAGCTACCCTATTTCCAGGAACCGATCTCTCCTTGCCCTGAGTCACTTGTTCTATTGTTTCTCCCGTAGTACTGAAAAATCTTGGCTGTTTATTAAAGGGTCCACTCTTGCCCTAAATTGTAGGACCCCTAGAGAACAAGTATGAGTAGGGAGAATTTAGTTTTGCTGACCTCAAGACCAACCACTCCCCAAATCGCCAGCTTTCTCAGCTTGGACGTTTTCCATAAGAAATTATGATAGCTTTGGAAGCTCCAAAGCTTGGGGCTCCCTTGGAGGTTTTCTAGACCCAGGTCACAAATACAACCTGACCCAGCACCATCTCGGGTGATAGTTAGCAAAAGCTAGGCTGCCTATCTGTTAGAAGGGGCTTCTGAACTTCCCCCAGCTAATTAGAGGCAATACTGGTTAGGTCTTTCTCAGCAGTTTCCCCGACCTCCAGTCAGCATCGCTGCCATCTTTGAAAGGTGTGAGTGCTTGCAGGGTGTTGTACTGATCTGAGGGGAGCTGAACTTGTTTCAGAAGACACCCAGGACTTCAATGTGACAGAAAGAACCAGGGAACTAAAGCTTTTTCATCCTTTTTGGAAGGATGGCTCCAGGTCATCTCAGTCTATCCCTCCTCTGGGAAAAAGAGAGGGCATAAGAGAAGGGGTGAGGCGAGATTATGGAGTAGGTACTGTTTCCTTGAGGGTAAGATCAACCTCCAAGCTAGATAGAAAGGGTACTTTCTTTTGAAGTTTCAGGTATAAATTTTGGGGAGAGGGGCTTAGTGACGTTTCTTCTGACACACTCTGTCCCTGGGTTTATTCTTGCTTATTCTGCCCCACACCCACTGACTGTAGATATAGATGGTTTGGAGTTTCTGTGCCCACTGATGGAGAGGATGTATTTGAAGTACATTTGCTTAGAGTGGATGCTAGTGCTTGAGTGGCCAGCAGAGGGCAGTGTTGACCCACAGCTGTAACAACCGTGAGGTGGGTGGTCAGTAAATCTGCTTGCATAGAATCTGAGAGGGGCTTTTTGTTGGGGTGTGAAGGCCTGTTTGGGCTTGACTTTGTTCACAAGTTTATCTAGGACTGGATGGGTCAGTGCCTACCTCAGGAAGGCTCTATCATAGGCTTAGTCAAGAAACAGGTTAGTATTCTAGCCTTAGAGCCTGCCAGAAGTGTTAAATTGCCAGCCTTCCTCTCCCCTCCTCATTGGTATAGCAGCCATATTCTTGTGTGTGGACAGGTTAGTAGGGTCCAGACCAGGACCTTTGCCCACTTGGCTGCAGGTTGCATGAGGGCAAAGGTTTGTCCATTGCTTTATGTGAACAAGGGGACTCATATGTCTGGCCGCTCTCTGCCTGGTGCTCACTGTTGCCTTTTGCCAGAGGAAGGCAGTCCCTGTGACCCCAACCAACTTAGCCCAATCTCATTTGCCTGCCCACTTATTCTGGGCAACCAGAACATGGCTTTTCATACCCTGAGAGATGGTGGCCTAGGGACTGGAGTAACAGAACTGGGGGCTGGTGATAAAACCTAGGAAATGTTCTTGTCCTTTTCAATCTATCTTATGTTTTGGGGCCCCGGGCTCCCCAGTCTTCCAGCCCAACAGCTGTGAGCCTCCAGAGCTACTACCCATAAGCCAGCTGCCTCTTCTTGGGGAATTCTTTGAAATTCCAGACTTGGCCATCTGGGTATGCAAATAGCTCCAGATCTGCTGAGTTCGCCAAGTGGCTGTATCCCAAACAGAACTGTGAGAATTAACCCCCACTACCCCCAGATGGGGAAAGCTGCCTTGGGGCTGTTGGTGCCTGGAACCCAGGCTTTCACCTGCTGAAAGATTCTTAAGAGGGGAGGGAGAGAGGAGTCCTGGAGGCTCCCAGAGCCTGCTCTAGCACCTAACTTTATAAGAGGTTTTATATCCAAAAGGTGGGTTGAAAGACTTTGGAGCAGAAATTCTGGACCTACGAAAGTCTCTGGAATAAGGAAGAAAGCCTTGGGTCTAGCCTGTCTAGAGAAGTGGGGGATCCCTGCAGGGAAAGCTAGCTCCTACCATGCCACACCCAGGCAGTAGAGCCGTTATTAGGCAGCCCAGAGTAGGGCCAGCAGCCTGGCCCCCAGAATGCCTTGCTCTCTGCTCTGCGTAGGGAGGGGGTGGGGGTCAGGGTCAGGGCGGAAACCTGGGAATGTGGACTGCCTGCCCCTGTCCCTGTTGGAGGGAGGGAGCCGTGGAGAATGTGGCTGACAGGCCTCAGGCGTGGGAGAGTGTAGGCCTGTGTGTGTGTGCGCGCGCGCA